TTCTTGGTCATCTTTTAGCATTTCTAGTATCTTGTACAGAGTTTTTCTTATAATATATTGTTCACTGATGTTTATCTTAGCCAGGGTCAAATTTTTCAAATGGTGGTTTTTTGAATTTGATACAACAATTGATCCCATATGTTAAGACATATTCATTGCCCTGTACATATAAAATATGCTTACAATAATCTATTTATATACTTTAAAGTGTGATTATAGCACATATATGTGAAAAAAATATAGAAATAAATAAAAAGTCAGTTTTGGTCTTGTTTGTACTGATCGTTTGTTACATATCTATTAACTTTATACCAATTTTATACTAAATTACTTTTACAGTGATATATGCAAACAATGATGTATTAAAGCCGCACAATACTTCAACAAATCGTCTTCATGCATAGTGTACCAGCTTATTTATACGTTATCATTTACATATTTCGCTAAATTTTGAGGTTATTTTATAGAAAGTTACACTGTTTTGTACCATTGAAATAATAGCATTGACGAACCTTGATGATATTTTTAATGTCCAAGGACAAATCTATTATAGAACGTAAAAAAATTAATTGATATTTCCTCTCTTTTGTAAATCTCTCTTGTAAATCGGAAAATGAATCCTACATCACCAGCTACTATTCATAGCACAAATAATTATAGCACGTATATGGTTAATTGAATTCTTATCATACAACTTTTAGAATATAATAGTTACTACTTATATATAATTATGCTGTAAATAAAGAGCACTCCGCACTCCTCGATTGACACACGTGTATATACGCACTCACGCATCGTATGTAGGATAATCATGTACATCATGGCTGTCGCGATGAGCGTTGCGCACAATATAAAACGATAACATTATAACAACAGAAAATTAATATACTACCAACGTTATTTCTGAGTCCAAATCACAAGGAATTTTGAACTGTTGCATTGATCTCAAATAAATGTCAGAGTAACATTTGAAAAATATTTTCTGTAACGTTTTCAAAATATTTTAACA